CCTCGATGACTCGTCCAGGTCCAGGCACCGTGATGACTCCTCTAGGTTCAGGTGCCACGATGAGTTCTCCAGGTCCAGGCGCTGCGATGACACCTCCAGGTGCTGCCATCACACTTCCAGATCAGAAAATGGAAGCAGGGCATTCCCATTGCCTCAGGATGGTAAGTATTGATCGGATAGCAGTGAGACACTTTGGAAAAATTGTCAACCAGCTACGTAGCCTTGCTGTTGGAGAGAGAACCATTGTAATCAAGAAATGTGTTTTTATTTCAGTGTTTCAGCGAGAAGTCATCAACTTATTGATTGACATCCGCAGTTGCCTACAACATGTACAACCCACCTCTTCAGCTGTGCACATTGAGAGGATGCAGACCATGGAGGATTTTGAGAGAGAGGAGGAGCGCCTCTGTGACTCAGAAACATTTGCTACCCTGGTAGGTTTTACAAGTCTGGAAGAAAGCCTAGCATAACACTGTTACGTTCTAATGGGAGTGTCAGTCAACTGTACCATGGATTTATTCCAACAGGTTCTGCAAATTTCCAGAATTGGTGGAAAGGACACTAAGGACTTCGTCCACAAAGTTCTTGATAGGTATGTATCGACACAAACACACAGCCCTCACAGTTCCTTTATACAAACAGCACAGCGCCCACCCACTATCCATCTGTAAGCCCCTCCATATTATCCTTCATATATTCATATGGATTCATAATTGTAATTGTTCTTCAGGCTCTTCACCAATGCATTGATGGCCAAATTCAATATGAAGGGGAAAGGGAAACGAGGAAAGAAATCCCTGGAAATAACAACGGTTTATAGAGCAATAAAAGGTAAACCCATATTTCCTGTTGACCAATGGGATGATTAGCTCCTACCCATCTTTAAATAACTAGATAACGAGGCCAAAACACGGTATAAAAAGGTTTGGTAGCTCTAGTGCATTTTGCAGCAAATTTTTAACTGATGTGCTCAAATGTGTGTTAGTAAAGCAAACAAAGTGAACATTGTATTGAGACGAGCGTGAAAGTGATTGGCAAAAACAAAAATTCAAAGTTTCCTATCAACATTTGCAGGGATGGTTTTGTATTAATCCAGTAATGGGGGAGGCCCCAGCAACACATTCTTGTGCATTTTTTCAGATTGCCTTTGCATATTACTAATCATTTGTTTTTTGCAAATACAGACGGAATCATGAATGGTGATGCTGCAGCAACAGAAGAGTTTATATGGACGCATGCTGCAGAGCATTTAAAACATGCGCCACAAAGAAGTGGAGGTGGAGGACACAGGCTCACTCAGGACTGACGAACAACTTTTTTTGAGGGGGGGGGAGCAATTACACTTTTTTTTTTTTGTTTATTTGTGGTGAGGGGACTGTAATTTTATATAGCTTTTGTATATTTTGTATACATTTCTCATGTTACTGCCAGTGTTTGTAAGCTACCAGTTCAGCTATGAATCCAAAAAGAGAAGTGAAAATGAAAAGGCACGTTTCTTTTTTTAATTTGATGTTGAGTACAGACCCAAGCAATGTGTGTAATTTTATTTTTGTTTGTGTATATTTTTTGGTTTGCCACCAGTTGATAAGCTTCCAGTTCCACTGTGATTCTTAACATTAAAGCTTTTTTTTTTTTTTAATTTTAGAAGGTTTTTTTAATTAATTTTTTTTTGTTTTACCACCAGTGTTGATAAGCTACTTGTTCTGTTAATCCAATAGAGCATAAGAGAAAATGTTGAGGAGTGATGATGATTTATTTGTAAACCTTAGTCCGTGTGTTTCTCGTGGGTGGAGGACCATGCAGTTGCACCATGGATGGTCAAACATACTGTTTCCCTATCTTTGTTTGCCTCAGCTGCAGGTTTGAACTAGATGCATTATACTTTTCATATGCACAGCATTGAAGCAGCATCCGAAGTGACTAAAATAAGTTAAAATTGGACGTAGAAAAGACGTCTACGTTGACCACATTTGATGTCTGGCGTCACAGTCTGCACCTGCGAGGGACCAAAATTAGACTGGCAGAACAGACTTAAAAAAACATTTAGACGTCTACTTGCGCAGTGGATAATTTAGAACAGGGGCAACAAGAGTTGTACAAGTGGTATGAAAAAGAAGTAGCTGGAGATGCAATTAGAAAACTAATGAGGTTGTAGGTCAATAAGAAGAGAGAACATTTAAAATGTCTAAAAAAAGTGAGTGCAGTTCAGACTGTTGTTTGAGCTGCTCCACACAAAAGATGGTTTTTACTCTGAATATCCTTCACTGACGTAACCTGGGCTCGAACCCGCAGCCTCAGGCTTGCAAGCCAGACCGCCGAGCTACCGCCCCCGTGCAGGAGCGCTGGAAGCGGCTCTCGCAGGTGGGGGATAAGATACAAAGAAGTGGGGGTAAATTAGCAGGTGAAGCTCTTGCAGGAAGCATTTGGTGGCAGCACTTGGCTGCCTCTCAGTGACGCTGAGCTGCAGATCAACACGCCTCTCCTCCAGCCTGCCTCCTCTCACCATCTCATCCAGTCTGTGAGTTTTGCTCTGCAGAAGAAGCTCGGCGCGGTCAGGCAATAAACAAACATCCGCCATGCGCCCTGGAAGGTAACTGTTTTGTTCTTGTTCAGACTCTGGGCTGCAGCTTTGTGGGATTGTGCAGTCACACTGGACAGATGTGGCTCGGTACTGCAGTGTGGGTTTGTTGATGGCTGGAGTGTGCTGCAGAAGTGAGTTTGATGGTGGCTCTGTCCGCCGGGGGGTGGGGATTTGTCTCAGGATGGATAGATGTGGACCTGTCAGATCAGTGGGGATGGGGTCCATTGCATAAGACAAGAAGATGCGAGAGAAATCTGATCCTGCGCACAGATGCTTTAATTTTCTGTTGCTGAGGTGGATTTGTGTCTGAAGAGGCTAGAGGAGCCGGTGCTATTTATAGTTGAAGTGTGGGGGTGCTGAGGATTGCTGTGTCAGATCCTCTCCTCCTTCTGTTCATCACTCCCCTCCTCGTGGTGCCTGCACCTGCAGCATCAAGCCAGGCACAAAAAAAACATTTAAATCTAATTGTCATCACAGCCTTCAGATCTTCTGTGGTCAGTCTTTAACGTTGCCACGTCTGCTGCAGACGTTTTGAGCAGGAATCAAACCTTTAATGCAATTTTCTTCAAAAGTAATGGGTGCACAACAGAGCACCTTACCTGAGGACTTACTGGCAGATTACAAGAAATAAATATATTCCTTCGTTCATCCCCACAGCAGTTTTAATTTCTATGCATGCATGAGATGAGGTCATTGGTTGGATGAACAGACTTTTATGGCAACACAACTCAAAAAAGTTGGGGCAGGACTGAAGCATCCCCAGTCTGTAAACATCTGAGGAGACAGCTGCAGGAGGTTTTGGAGGAGAAGTTTGCCCCGTTTTTCAAAGGAACACCAAATGTTTTAAACTGGTTGGAGGTCTGGACTGCAGGCAGACCAGTTCAGCATGGACTCTTAACATATGAAGCCACACTGTTGTGGTGCAGTATGAGGTTTAGTTGAAATCTGCAAGGCCTTTCCTGAAAAAGACTTTGTCTGCGTGGGACGCAAGGTATTCTAAAACTTGTTTTTACTTTTCTGCTCCGATGGTGCCCTCCCAGATGGTGGAATAGGTTCTAATGCACCACCACACCATCAGCGAGGCAGGCTTTAATGGTGCACTGATTAAACCCTGTCCCAACTTTTTTTGAAAGAAGTTTCACCATCATTAAATGCAATCTTATCTTTTTTTAAAATGGTACAAATTCTTAGCTTAAGGATTTGACTTGTTTACTTTGTTGTAGTGTGTGCAAAATATGCGTTTTTAGATTAACAAATCAGTCAGTTCTGGTTTTGTTTATACATTTACACAACATCCCAACTATTCAGTGTTAATTATTTTTTTATTCATTATTTTTTTGTTTTGTTTTAAATGCTTTAATTTTTTTCATACCATGTAATTGATTGTTCAGTTCAATTCTAAACAAGTCATCTTAGGGGATTGTACAAAATAAGTCCTAATCTTAACAGTTCTGTCAGTTTAATATTAATATTGAAGACTTAACAATCTTTAAAGGAATATATTGTCATCTCCTTTTATGTCAGTTAGAAACACAATCTTTTAGACACTTTGGTCAAACCTTGTCGTGTCTGGTGGATGCAAAACGAAGGATCGATCAATCAATCAATCAATCAATCAATCAATCAATCAATCAGTCAGTCAGCTGTATTTGCACCTGTAGGTAGATTTGATTACAGTAAAGTGACTCGGCTTCATCTTCCTCTCACAAAATGGAACAACAGACCTAGTGTCAAAGTGGTTTTAAATAAATAACCCACCTTTAGGAAACAAGCTCAGATGAAATACCACAATAAAATGGGATCAAACAAGATAACTGACTAAACGCTGATGACGTATTTAAGATGCTGATGTAGGAACAACTCTGGTTTTAAAACCCTTGGTGTAACATTTTGGCACTTGGTATCATCCAGACCTGACAAGTGTGAACCCCCCAGTACAGTGGTACAGTGGATGAGATGTGTCCTTGGAGGTGGAGCCAGAGATCCTCTGTACCAGCCTGCAGGGACTCTGGATCTTCCTGGACCACGTTACTCTGATTCATGCAGTTTTGTTTGTTAAAAGAACCAAAACACCAACAGGGTCAGCAAGGTTGCTGATGTAAAATGCAGACTCGGCAAACTTACTGCAGGAAAACAATCATGAATAAAAATAAAATTAAACATGCTGAACACGAGGAATCCCTAAACGAGTCGAGGAATAAACACAAACTACAAAACAAAGTAAATCCAGGATCATGACCTGTAAACGTTATATAATGTGGTGCTCAACGTATGTGTTGACGATGACTACTACTACCACACACCAAATTTTAAGTTAAAGCCATGATTTTTTTAAGCTCAGTTAACTGTAGCAACCATCAAATATTAGGGTTGATTCACAAAGTTAATCAATCGTAGCTTTACATCCTATGAGCACTTTCTATAGGTTCCAATAAAATCTTTCCGGTGGTTTATGTGATTTTTTTTGCTAACAGACAGAGTTAATTCCAATAGTTAATGGCAAAGTTTAAAAACAGCTCTTGGTGCATAGCGTGAGGATTACTCTTAACTAATACCCCACCAAATTTGAGCTCAATATTTGTAAAATGGACTGAGTTATGATCATTTTGGTGTTTGTTAGGGTCATTTAGCTGTCGTGGCCGTCTTGAATTGGCTATCAGTTGTAGCGGTACATCATCCACCACAGCTAAAGGGCGATAATGAAATATCTCATGAACCACGAAACTCTCAAAGTGACTACTGGGTTACAATACAGCCAGGATTACAAAAACCAGTCAGTGACGAGTCCTAGATCACATCAAGGCAGCAGATTGTGCCAAAAGCTGTTTAACTCAGTTGTCAGCAGGCGACAGTGGAAAGGAATGACTCCCTAGTAACAAGAAGGGACCTCTAGCAGAACCAGGCTCAGGACTGTATGTGCACTAATACCATATTTTTGGGACTAAGGTGCACTTAGTATACGTTAATTTTCTCAAAACTCAACAGTGAGCCTTAAAGTCAGGTGCACCTTATGTGTTCTGGTTGTGCTTACTGACCTCGAAGGGATTTTATGTGGTTATTGTGAATGAGTTGAATAAAGTTTGACTTATCTGACTGTTTTGTTTTGCTTAATGCTCCTTAAAATCCGGTGCGCCTTACTGTATGTATGAAAACAGACCCGTTCATTGATATTGTGCCTTTTAATCCAGTGCGCCTTATAGTCCGAAAAATACGGTATGTGCCATGCTAGACAGTGGATCGTGTTTATGGGCGTCTCCTTCTCTTCATGTTTGTAGTATGTTTGTTTTCATGTATTTACTTGATGCCAAACCAGCAGCCTCTCAGGGGCACAGAGTTAAAGCTGACCATTTTTTACCCTTATGTCAGCAGGCACTGAGACCGGAGAGGGATGCCGATGTCCTTGATTCTCCAGGGCCTCCTCCTCCTGGCTGGGACCTGTCTCCGTCTCTATGGAGCCCCAACCCATCTTCCAAACTTCAACCACATGCAGGAGGGCTCCTGCGAAGGCCACTGTCCCAGCTTGGTCACTACCGCTGTGGTTACTCACACAGAGTCTGTCCTCTTGGATAAAGAACACATTACTGGCTCTGTACTGAATGTAGGTGTAGGAGGAGGGACTGGCCCACATCGAGGACCTGAGGGGATAGATTCGATGATGGAGACTGAAAACGGGGACAGTCTTCATAGAAGATTTGGGCCAAGTGAGGCTGGTGGAGCGGCACTGAGCCACAGGAGGGAGGGAAAACAGATTGAAAGCACCTCAGAGGGGGAAGATGCAGAGACAAACGAGGAGAAACCAGTCGACGGTGAGACTTTGAGTCCTATAGGTGGAAGGGAGCAGGTGGATGATGAGAGGACAAAACTGTCTTTTTCTGATTCAGAGTCTTCACATCCCTACACTCCTCTGTGGACTCAAAAACTGGCCTCTTCCAGTCCCATTCCTTCCTTGATGATCGTCTCTCCTCAGACTTCCATGCCTCTGGCAGTATGGAGACGTGATGGAGTCACGGGTTCCTCCCCTCCAGAACCCATTTTACCTGAAATTGGACCGAACATGATGACCAGAGACGACGGTCTGGAAAGCCTGTGGACTGAGGCAGTGAGACCATCTGGAGGCAAGTCTTAAAAATTAATGATAAAAATTTAACAGTTTCAATTTGTTAGCACTATTGTTTTCATGTATTTATTTATTTACAAATGTTGTTCAATCTGTTTTTTAACCATTCGTACAAAAAAACGATCATCTCAATCAGGAGATGAATGCGATGACTCATATTTTTGTGATTTTTATATTTTTCAACATAATTACCTTTACTCACAAATATTTTCCTCAGAGAAATACATTAAGATCTATTCTACTGCTTCAAAAACACAAATTCCCTTAAAATCAGCAGCAAGCTATTTTTGCTTTTAGCTTTTTTCCTAGCCTTTTTATTGTAGCTTTTAACTGGCCTTTTAGCTGTTAGCTGGATTTTTGCTGCTTGTAGTTTTCTAACTATCCTGTTAAAGGCAACATTTAGCTACTTTTAGTTGCTATTTTTCTTTGTCATATTAGGGATGCACAATAATTGGATTCTTGGCCGATATCCAGTATGTCGATATGTTAAAACTTATTTGGCCGATAATCAATACCAATACCGATATTTTTTCCCCTAGACCTACTTACAGAGACAACATAGTTTTCTCTGCTGTGGAATTAAAATATTACATTATTCTGCATGGTCTTTGTCAGTTTGGCCTGCTACCAAATGCAGATGCCATAAAGGGGGCTGAAAATGATGTAACACTTCAACTTGGATTATGTTTAATGTCAAATTTATTCATGACATTTACTCTCTAACACAATGACGACACTCGAACAGTGCACATTTGTAAGATTTTCACAAATCTAAACTCAACCTGTTCACAAGCGACAAGTGAAAAGCACATAAGTAGTAGTGCATTAATAGATATACTTGACAGTTTCTTAAATTAAAAATTAACTTTTTCGATAATATCGGCCGATACCGATACCATGCCAATAATATCGTGCATCCCTACTTTCACCTTGTTTTTTGATACTTTTAGCTACCCATATGCTTTTTTTTTTTTTTTTTTTTTTTTAACTATTTAACTACTTTTAGCATGCCTTTTCTACCTTTAACCACTGTTTTTTGCTACTTTTGGCTTTTACCTAGCATTTTGTTTCTTTTAGTATTTAGTAATGTTTTTAATATAACAAAATAAAGTTAAGTTGAGAGTTGAGTTGAGGTAAAGTGTTTTTGCTCCTTTTAGCTTGTTCCTTCCTGCTGTTAGTTGGACAGGTGCAGAAAGCGTTTAGTGCAGTCATCTGTCATTGAGCTGATTAACTCTATCATGCTGGATTTCGTGGGGCTTAAGAAGGCTTCATTTATTCATTCGCGGTTCATTTAAAAAATGGTGGA